TGGTTATAGAAAAGAAGTTGTTAAAACAAAATCACAAAAAAATTACACTTTGCAAATACATGAAATTCTATAAAATCCAATCATTACCATGTAAGATTTAATTTACTTTGAACTATGGTAATGGGACAAGTGTGGTTTTCAGATGTAGAAGTCGTTAGACTAAATGTAACAATAAATGAAATGGTATAAAAATGTGTGATAACAGGGGAACCAGAGATCAACAAAGGACCAGGAGAATAGATTTAAAAGATAATGAGAGATGGAACAAAAAGAAATAACACATCTAAGAACTTATGAATTGTTATCAAAGGACTAACGACAAATTCTGACAATGCCTTTTATAAAAGCTTTATTTTGACAGACACTTAAGAAGTTGCATCATATACAGTTGCATATAAAAGTTTATCAATGAACATAGAATTTCAGAATCTGAGAAATGATGCACAAAGCCTTATATATGGCATTTAACCATGTAATGAATCAAATTATGTGCACATTTCCTAAAAGGACATTTAACAGCTTTGTGACTAATCAAATTAGGTTTACATGTATATATATGGTTCCTTTAATGGAAAGTGAGCAAAAAGTATGAGCACATATATACTTATATGATCAAGGAACAGCCTGATGATTTATAAAATTATGTGCAAATGGACTGTAGATAACTTAAATTTCACATGGACTTTATTTTGCATTCATACTTTTTTTTACCTTTTGCAAATTTATAAATTTGAGATTATAGGAAGTCAAACGTGACCCAAATGATGGAGGTCAATGTCCATCATTACATTTGGTGTTTGTAAAAGTTTCCTTCCTAAATTAGATGGAAATAATTATTGTTAACCATAAACCGAAATATTTATTTTAGAAAAAGCTTGGATGATCCTTGAACAGGGACAGTGGATCTACTTTTACCTATTAATACAAATGATAAAGCGATTTTATAGCACTTCAGCAGTTTCAGGACAGTTCACAAAGTCAAGATACATTTTTGTTTCCTCATGGCAAAAATTACACTTTATACTGAAATTCATGTTTGAGGTTGCTAGCGGATAAGCACAAAAATTGGGTCCATGCGAAATATAAGTAATTTATAGAATTGTGCCCATATACATCTATAAATGGACAATAAACAATCTGATGATTAACCAAATGATGTGGATATACATCCTTATATGGGCCATTCATATATATCCTTATATGGGCAATGAGCAATCTGTTAATCAAGTTATGTGTAAATTACTGGTGATTAAGCAAATTATGTGCACATATATCCTTAATAGGGCCATTCACATTTATCCTTATATGGGCAATGAACAATCAGGTAATCATGTTATGTGCAAATTACTGGTGTTTAAGCAAGTTATGTTCATATATATCAGAGTTGTCAATGTCAACAATAGAATTTCAACAATAGGTTGATAAATACTGTTTGGTGTATATATTTGTGAAGAGTTTGTGCTATAAACTGGTAGATCATAGATACATATATCATTTTGGTGTATCAGCGTTTAAATTGATGATGAGATGCTATTCCATACAAATACAACTCAATGATGTTTTTCATCAATCAAATTTCAGCATTTGAACTTTAAATGTTTTTGCAGCAGAAGTAAACATACAGTGATAATTGTGAGACAACAATCTCTAAGATGTACATACCAAAGCCATGAAAAGCATCAATTTGTATCAAAATGTATGCGGAAACAAAACCATTAAAGCAGCTTTTTTATCTTAAATATTTATACATGCATTTACAATTACAGGGAACGATGCTAGATTGAACACATGGGTAAAACAAATTAAATGGAGATCAATATTCGAAAGGAGAAATACTTTAATTTATTTTCAAACTTGGAATGAGCAGTGAAGTATGATTTTATGTACCTGTAGGACATTTTTAACAGAATGTCTTGAGTATCAGATATTGACAAAATAAAAATAATAAAATAAGATGACTATAATAACATTTATATGCAGGGTCAGATCTAATTGTCAACTAAAATCAATGTCAAATTTCTAAAGAGTAAGAAACCAAAAAATAACTAGAAAGCTGTTTAAATGTTGAAAATCTATGGCATCACACAAATAATTTGGCAGCTTTCTATTCATCTAAAATAATTTCTTAAGAATATGAAACCCCAATGAACAGAACTTAAATGTACAAAATCAAAAACAAACAGACAAAACAATGTAATAAAAAAACATCCTTCAACAGTATCTGTCAACACTACTGAAAACCTGAGGTAGTGTTATCTTTAGGAACCAGCATCAATGAACAGTAAAATCATCTATCTAAAATATGAATGGAATGTTTATCTTGAAAAAAATACACTGAAAATATTTCCTGTCACGGAACAATGATAATTTCAAAGTCCATAATATCTTTTAAAATTGAACTATTCATAGACCTATTGCAACAATCCCCTTAAGGCCTATTACAACAGTTATATCTTTTTCTGAAAATGATTGAAAAAGGACTAGCTTCATGTAAATGTGTGGCACAAGTTCTCAAAAAGATTACCTCCCTTGCTACATAAAAAAACACCATTTCTGTCCAAAAATAGTCTCCTCAGTTTGTTGAAAAGAGAGTGAGAGAGCTGTCATTTTCAAATAAAGTATGATAAAAAAAAACCACATCAATCAGTTTACAAAACAAGGCATAAATTCTTTCTGAACCGAATAAGAGTACAATGTATATAGTAAAGTGTTTGACTGACCAAGTGTGTACAGTATGTAAAGTGTCTGATTGACCAAGAGTACAGTGTGTACAATAAAGTGTCTGACTGACCAAGAGTACAGTGTATATAGTCAAGTGTGTGACTGACCAAGAGTACAGTATGTATAGACAAGTGTCTGATCAACCAAGAGTACAGTGTATACAATAAAGTGTCTGATCGACCAAGAGTACAGTGTATACAATCAAGTGTCTGAACGACCATGAGTATCAATTAACTAATGTTATGAATTTCATGCATATAGATGAGAAGTATATAAACATGAGATTGGGGTCAATATCTGACTTAAATGTTCAGGTGGACAGCTATGCAGTAAGAAAATAAAAGGATATAATGTTTCTCATATAACTGTTTGAACCAAGCTTTCAGGGTACAGGGTACAGATCAGACACACATTTAGTGACATTGTTACATTTCCTTTGTGATTTATCAAATTTACATTACAATCCAATATTTATCAATGGGTAATGGCATACATTGACCAAAGAAAGCGATATCATACATTTTAACATTGATTTGACCACTAATGATGTCATATCACTGACCACTGGTGATGTAACCTTGATTTCATTATTTCTGACCACCGGTAAGGCCACAACACTTACTATATGTAATTTCATATTACTGTCCACCAGTGATGCACACCACTGACCACTGTAGAGCCACTGATTACTAATGATGTCATACAGATGACCAATGATGATGTCAATCAAATGACCACTGGTGGTGTCAAACCATGCATTGACCACTAGTGATGTCACATCAATGACCACTGCTGGTTTCAAACCATGCATTGACCACTAGTGATATCACATCAATGACCACTGGTGGTGTCAAACCATGCATTGACCACTAGTGATATCACATCAATGACCACTTCTGGTGTCAAACCATGCATTGACCATTAGTGATGTCACATCAATGACCACTGCTGGTGTCAAACCATTCATTGATCACTAGCGATGTCACATCAATGACCACTGCTAGTGTCAAACCATGCATTGACCACTAGTGATGTCACATCAATGACCACTTCTGGTGTCAAACCATGCATTGACCACTAGTGATGTCACATCAATGACCACTGCTGGTGTCAAACCATGCATTGACCACTAGTGATATCACATCAATGACCACTGCTGGTGTCAAACCATTCATTGACCACTAGTGATGTCACATCAATGACCACTGCTGGTGTCAAACCATGCATTGACCACTAGTGATGTCACATCAATGACCACTGCTGGTGTCAAACCATGCATTGACCACTAGTGATGTCACATCAATGACCACTGCTGGTGTCAAACCATGCATTGACCACTAGTGACCACTTCTGGTGTCAAACCATGCATTGACCACTAGTGATGTCACATCACTGACCACTTCTGGTGTCAAACCATGCATTGACCACTAGTGATGTCACATCAATGACCACTTCTGGTGTCAAACCATGCATTGACCACTAGTGATGTCACATCAATGACCACTGCTGGTGTCAAACCATGCATTGACCACTAGTGATGTCACATCAATGACCACTGCTGGTGTCAAACCATGCATTGACCACTAGTGATGTCACATCAATGACCACTGCTGGTGTCAAACCATGCATTGACCACTAGTGATGTCACATCAATGACCACTTCTGGTGTCAAACCATGCATTGACCACTAGTGATGTCACATCAATGACCACTGCTGGTGTCAAACCATGTAGTGATGTCACATCAATGACCACTGCTGGTGTCAAACAATGCATTGACAAACCATGCATTGACCACTAGTGATGTCACATCAATGACCACTGCTGGTGTCAAACCATGCATTGACCACTAGTGATGTCACATCAATGACCACTGCTGGTGTCAAACCATGCATTGACCACTAGTGATGTCACATCAATGACCACTGCTGGTGTCAAACAATGCATTGACCACTAGTGATGTCACATCAATGACCACTTCTGGTGTCAAACCATGCATTGACCACTAGTGATGTCACATCAATGACCACTGCTGGTGTCAAACCATGCATTGACCACTAGTGATGTCACATCAATGACCACTGCTGGTTTCAAACCATGCATTGACCACTAGTGATATCACATCAATGACCACTGCTGGTGTCAAACCATGCATTGACCACTAGTGATGACACATCAATGACCACTGCTGGTGTCAAACCATGCATTGACCACTAGTGATGACACATCAATGATCACTGGTGATATCACAAAGATGACCATAAGCAATGTCATGTCACTTACCATAGCTGATTACCACAGCTGATGTCATATCTCTGACAAATATGTATGGGGCATGCATCCCCGAACAAACAGCCTCAATACATGTATTGTAAAGTAATATGTCATGTTTTGGTTGTACTTTGATTAATCTCAGTCATTTACGATATTCTGTGTAACCTCTTCACATTGTCTGATTTCAGGGTCTGGCTGCAGTAATGAGAGTGGTTCTGGTTGAACTACAACAACTATGTTTTCCTTATCACCTGGTTCATATTCTGTTGTTTGTTTCATACTTCCGTGACTTTCTGACGGTTTAAGAAAGTTATCAGAAGTATCAATTTCTTTTGCCACGTCACTCAACTCCTTTTTCATTACCATAGATTCTTTTAAATCCAAATCTGACATTTCAGGGCTCAGAGTGTCAGTTTTAAGATCTAGAACAGAACTATCTTCTTTATCGGAGTCATGTGTCGTTTGCATTTTCCATGTCTTTCGGTCAAGCCTTGTCATGGAGATTCGTGAACCTGCACGACAAATGCTGACATCCTTCTCCGTGTTTGTGACCTTGATGCGTTCGTGGGGAATACATATGTACACAGGACGGTAGATGATATACATTTCGTTCTCATTTTCCTCCTCATCCCCCGTGTAAACCTGTCCAACCTGGAACTCAGAGCTAATGTACATCCCACCTTCAACATTCTCGGCAGCCACATCTGCAAAAATAAGATATTGACAACAATCAGACCACAAGGAAGATATCAACTTTGATTTCAAGGAATGTTAATGAGATTGAGAGTAGATTCTTTAAAAAGCAAATACCACAATTATCTTTCAATTTTAGTGAGGGCTTTATTCTATCTGATCATGAAATACATCTATTTACTGTATAATGTTTTCAATAGTTATTTAATAGAGGAGACAGGAAAGGTACACATAAGAACTTGTTGAAATCATTAAACAATGTGATTGAATAGTGTTATTCTTTAAATCATTTCAAGGGAGATAACTTCAGCACAAATTGTATGTATGTTTATAATTAGAGAACAGGCAATTTGAAAATAACCAGACAGAGATTTGAACTGGGAATCTTCTAAATTGACTAATTTTGAGAAAACACAATTTAGGAAACTTGTTCCAGGGATAGAGCCAACACTGTTATTTTCTATTAAGGTTAGGTGGTTTCTGTATATCCCTTGCCCAGATACTACCCAGTATGTAGACTGATTGAAGAGTAGGGAAAATGAAGTATGAAAATTAATTACAACAGGTTGGAGTAAATACCCAATTTATGAACCTGATTCCAGTTTCCCTATGGTACTTGCAACAGCATTACATTTTGAAACCAGGAGCCACTGAACTCTGGTTCTGCTAGACAATGATCAATCTTTCCTAACCTTCAAGATTTTTTTACACATAATATACAAGATATACAATTTACAAATATGTTTCTTTCAAAAAAATATATCAGTTATCCTACAAGAAATAATAGGAAAGTAAAATTCATGCATGTACTTACCATACTGCATGATGGGATAGGGGGCATTAGTGATCCGATAAGGAGTGGTTGCTATGGTCATTGGAAAATTGAGTTCCAGCACTTCCCCAGTATCTTCCATCACAAGGCCAACCTGTACAAAATATCAAAACATTAGAGTCCTCATTATATATGAAATAGATAGGTTTTTTTTACAATATACAGTATGTCATGTTTATTTTCACTTCCAATTTTTTTCAATAACAAAAGACAAAAATTCTTTTAAAAAAATTAGGTTTAATATATAAATTGACATTACTCCCAATTTTCATTTTGTTTTAAAAATGCTTTTACAGGACCCACATACATGTAAAAATGCTTGGCAGGCTTAAAAAAGGTGACCACTGTCCATTGCAGTTTCAGTATAATTATTAGCAAATGCTCCTTTTTAAGTGTGTTGATCCCCTGGGCTTAAATACCATAGGTTGTTCCATCTATCTCAATGTGTTTTACTCCCAGACTAAACACATATTAATTTCTTTCTGTAAAATGTCCATTTCCTTAATTTTGTTTAGAAATCTACATCTTGAGTTTCCTCCGTTACCTGTAGTGTGTAGTAGATCTGTATCAGGTTACAGACATCCACTAGGGACGGGGGCATGACAGGAACCTGTAGGAAGTTCTGTAGATTGTCGAACCTTTCTGTGTGGTTGGGATTCACACTGTCACCCTTGTATTCCCATACGCGATGGCTCACATCCTTCCGTAACCCAAGGACACCCTTGTTTATAAAATACTCCACGTTCTGAAAAAAGAAGAGAAAAACAGTATTCTTGAAACTAATCTAAAACATCCTTTCTTCTCAGCAATATTGATACAAACCATCCTTGAATTATTCATGTACGGGTAAAGCTGTATACAGCAACACCTTAATACTTAATAAATGACCCAAATGTACCTCTATGGAAAACAGGAAAGTACCCATGTGTAAAAGGAACAAGAGATCCCAGAGGGATCTTGGCGCCCACCATTTGAGAATCTGTTTTCAGTTCTTGAAGATTTGTTTATTTATTTATTTTTTTCTGTTACAGGTGTTGTAAATGTTCATGAACTGGTCTTCATTGAATGTACTCAATGATGGCACAAGATATTTTTATTAAGCACCTATAGCAGTCAGTTACAGGTGGATAATGGACATGGTCTTGAATCAATATGATAGAATATCGAAGAAAATATGCTTGTGCTGTATTACTGTCGACATCCAAGATGGCTGCCTGTGGGCCAACTTGATTTCAAATCAGTCCAAAAAAAGTACAATGCACAACTAGGGAACAAGGGAAACCAATACCTATGAAATATCAGAAGTATCCATCCAGTACTTCCTCAGAAATAGAGGTAACAAGATTTTACTCTCAAAATCCAAGATGGCTGCCTGTCAGCGATTTTGATTTCAGATCAGTCCAAAAAGGTACAATGCACAACTAGGGACCAAGGGGAACCTGCATATGAAATTTGAAAAGATCCATTCAGTACTTTCCCAGAAATAGCGGTAACAAAATTTTACTTTCAAACTCCAAGATGGCCGCCTGTCAGCCATCTTGAATTTGAATCAGCCCAAAAAAGGTACAATGCACAACTAGGGACCAAGGGGAATCTGCATATGAAATTTGAGAAAGATCCTTCCAGTACTTTCCCAGAAATAGCAGTAACAAACTTTTACATTCAAAATCCAAGATGGCTACCTGTCGGCCATCTTGAATTCAAATCAGTCCAAAAAAGGTACAATGCACAACTAGGGACCAAGGGGAACCTGCATACAAAATTTGAGAAAGAACCATTTAGTACTTTCCCAGAAATAGCGGTAACAAACATTTACTTCCAAAATCCAAGATGGCCACCTGTCGGCCATCTTGAATTCAAATCAGTCCAAAAAAGGTACAATGCACAACTAGGGACCAAGGGGAACCTGCATATAAAATTTGAGAAAGAACCATTTAGTACTTTCCCAGAAATAGTGGTAACAAACATTTACTTCCAAAATCCAAGATGGCCACCTGTCGGCCATCTTGAATTCAAATCAGTCCAAAAAAGGTACAATGCACAACTAGAGACCAAGGGGAAACTGCATATGAAATTTGAGAAAGATCCATCCAGTGCTTTCCCAGAAAGAGCGGTAACAAGAATTGTTTACGGACGGACGGACGGACGGACCATGGACCACAGATGCAGGGCGATTTGAATACCCCACCATCTGATGATGGTGGGCTAAAAAGATGACCCATATATCATATGAATGAATAAACATACCTGTGTATCCAAAATACATGTATGCTTGACAAATGATGCCCCTACTTTTATAGAGAACAGATGAATCTGTTGATAAATGATCTGAATACCTTTTGGAGTCTACATACTTGTGTTAATAGACTGTATAAGTGGACAATAGATCCATATATAGCTGTACAGGATCCACATACATGTAAGAGTAGAAACAGGATCCACATACCTGTAAGAGTAGAAACAGGATCCACATATCTGTAAGATTAGAAACAGGAACAACATACCTGTATGAGACGACACAAGATCCAAGCCTGCTGTCCACTACCATTCTGTATCTCCACCTTGAGTCTGATGTTGTCACCACAACAATAGGCACTTCGTTCCAGCGTGGCATCAAGTGCTACAGGACCCTTTGTGCAGCACATGCAGCATGTGTAACGTTTATCAGCTGCCCTGGTTGGAGTCTGAATGAGAAAACGAAAAGAAAATGAAAACTTCAATAAATCATATGCAGTGCGTGTACCGTAATCAGTAATTTTTTAAGGGGGTTTATTTTTGGTGATTTTGTGAATAATCTCAATCCTCAAACTGACCACAAACTGACCACAAACTGACATCATTATTTGGAGGACATTCATTAAGCTGTATTTATCAACAAAATCAAGTATCAACTAAATACTGTGTTTGTTTTTTGAAAACCCTGAAAAATGAATCGCTGGAAAACATAGGACTTTACAGTAACATTTATAAGCTGACCTGGTTAGATCTATTGATTACAGCATAAAAAGTGATCACAAAGCAAGAATATTGTATAAATTTCCAATCTTGTTTATTTTAGAGTCAGAAAATTTCTTCAGTAAAATCAACTGAATGACTTCAGAAAATTATTATAGAATGTTGTAAACAAGAGTCAATAGGGTCTGTATCACTCACCTGGTTTAGCTTTCTACTTGATTAATTTAAACTAAAGAAAACATTTAAAACACTTGTATCTATTTCCCCTATAATGAGCTTTCCCTCATGCCAAAGGGGATTAGAAACTTGATTCCCCTTTACCCAAGAATGCTTCCAATCATTCCTACAAGACTTTTTAAAGAATTACTCTATATCCACTATTGGGCCTCATCCCTCCACCCAACTGATTTTCCTCAGCCAAGCATGCATGGAGTGGGAGCAGGGAGGGGGTAGGTGTCAGACCCAGAGTTTATACACAACTGATTCTTTCATTCAAGCATGCTTCAGACCAAATTTGTTCAAAATCCACTGTCATTCATGACCAGTAGCAATTCATAAGGAAAGCTGACAGGCACCGGACAGACGAGGTATCAATGAAAATTTAAAAGTAAAGGATAAAAAATTGATTTTGTTTTTAATGAATTTTTTTAAATCCCTTGGGTTGCCCTTATTACAACAGGTGTCCTGATTACATTCAATATGGTACACTTAAGTTGATTAAATTGTTTCAATAATCAATTTAATTGAGCAAAGCTTCTTGAATGTTACCTATAGCATGTATACAATACACTAGTACCATAATCTACTTAATAAGCCTGCCTTTCACCACACTCCATTCTTTTTCTAACAAAGAAGATAGATCAACTTAAATGAAGTCTGTAAAGAGTTTGATTACTGGTGATTTACCAGTCTTTATTTGACTTTCCCTCAATCATATATCCAATGCAGCCATCATTTACATCATTTCTTTTTCAAATTATATTCTTGCATAAGTTTCAGATCTCATGACATTTTCCTCTGTAGACAGTTTAAGAACTCTCTTTATGTGTTTTTGTAACTACACAGTGCACTTATTAGAATGAATTTGGTATTATATTTACTGAAAACTTATTATGGGGACAGAGGAAGAGGTGACAAGATAATTTACGGATTTTGAGATGTTTACCATGAATGAAAAAATTTATATTGCGAGCTTTCAAAAATGTATGTTTCCTTTAATCAGTAAAGAATGCAAATGGAAGGATCCACATTTGATAAAATCCACTGGACTTACCAGGAAACGCTCATCCATACAGTCAATGTGTGGTCCTATTATAGAGAAATACTTGACACTTTGTGGGGATGAGGCGTAAGGGATATCCATGGTACCTCTCACATAGTACCGTATTGTACCCATCTTACTCTCCAGGGAGCAGGGGAGAGCACTCTCAGGTAGTTTGAATTCAAAGGGATATCTGTGGTTTCCTCGGGGCATGATAGGGGCAGCTCCATCCTCCTTCTTGTCTGTAATACACAAATGGATAATGTCGGATGAAAAAAACTATCTTTTTGAAGAAATGTTGAGAATATTGATCCTGTTTTCTAATTAAAATTGATGCTACATCTTCTAATTAACAAGACTTCAGATTATATAATATGCATCCAGTGTGTTACATCCTTAGATTTAAGTGAAAGTCAAGAATTTCAACATAAAAAATATGATATTCAGCCAGTCTTATTGAAATGTATCAGTTTTATATATAGATGAAAACAAGTCACAAGATGGCATCATCGATATGACAATTTCTATATTGTAGCATTTATATACATTTAATACCAATTAAAAAATGAAAACATTTAAGTCGCATTCTTGTTAGAGTATACCATTATTGAGGGTGATTGGTAAAATTGGACCATACTATATCCTTAAAGGGGGTTTCAGATAGAGCTGTCATGTGACTGGTCAATTTAAGATACAAATACATCAGTAAAATAAAGAAAATTTTGAAACAAGTTTAAGATCATATAGTTTTCTATTGTCAACGTCCTTCTGTAACATATTTTTGTTTGATACAAACTAGATATAGAAAACCTAGAGAAAAAATCGTGAAACCCAGGTAAATGTGTTAACAACCATTCATGTAGTTTACACAGCATGGCAAGAATTGACAGAATAATGATTTCAAAGCTGTTTTCCAAAAGCAGGATTTCCCACTTTCGGACCTCAGCCAGAAGTCTTTTGGGACACAGGAGACGACAAGGACAACATCCCATTATCTGAGCTTATCCAGTATAATAGTGTACCAAAAGATGAAGAGTTAAGTTCCATGATTAAATCAGTATTGACACCTCGGCACGCTGGGATGATGGTAAAATAATCACATCAATCACCACTGTTTTCATAAAATTTCAAGAAAGTACATGTTTTGATACTTGTCTTAATATGTTTGTTTATTAAGAACTGCACTATCGACTGCCTCCAGAATGAATGACAGTTATAATGTACTATTCCTATGATCCTGTGTAATTCATTTTCAACTAGTTTTGATGTACTTTTATATTTTAGTATGGAATAGTCATTCTCAGTGAAAGGATCAGACCTGTCACATGACAAAATAATTTGTCATATCAGGTCGTATCAAATTTTTCACTGCCAAATGAAAACAAGAAAAGCTTGGTGACTCCCTATGAAGACCAAACAATAGGCATAGTGAGGATATGTAATAAGAAGAAATGATAAAAAAAACATGTTCTAATCCCATCAGGACTCGAACTAGTGACCTTTTACTCTAAAGACAGACACTCCACTGCTTCACTAAAGGGAAATTAATTCCCACCAGTAGAGACTAGTTAAGTGACAGAATTCGCAACTTCTGTAGATAGATGTTAGGTGAAGGGTGTTCATGTCAGAAGAAATTCCCACTACCAGAGAACAGATGTTGAATTTTTCATTAACAACCATTACTCAAAACAGCTTCCTTTGCCAAGAAAAAAGTATGTAGATCATGAGCAATATTCATGCCCCATACTTTGAGCAAGTTAACTGCTGAAAACATGAATTAAGGAAAAAAATTAGTGTCTAAATTAGGAATTTAGGAGTAAATAACTGTCCAAAATGATGACCTCTTTGTGCAAATTGAATGTTAGCAGGCTCAAATTACTGTTCAAAACAGATATTAGGCAATAGTACAAGTGATTTCCAGTTTACTTAACCTCAGTCTATTGTACCTATCCCCTTCCAATGGGAGGTTGAGTTAGTAGACATTTAAAATACTCCTGGACTAATATTGGAATATTGGAATAAGTAGTAACAAGATAATTTCACTTTATGACTCACGAATGAAAAATGTTCATAATAAATGGGAGCAAGAGGTCCATGGGGCATGTATTACTCATCTGGATTTTAAAGTCTAGCAATGGTATACATGCCTATAGGTTTGCTATTTCAGATTTACAAATTACAGCTCAGTCACAAAACCTCTTAAGTAGATTCTCATATCACCACTGTCTTTTCTCTTTTGATGCCCAGTAAGAGTTGATATGCTTAATGGGTTGTATATGCCACACACAAGGGTCAATTCTTACACCAAGAATTTGTTTATCACTTGATGCCAAGTGTATCTAATCATACATATTACATATAGCCTTGAATAAGGGTCAAGGTAATTTCTTTTCACAAACTTTGTATGGCTTCATCCTAGAAATCTATCAGCTAAACATCATGCTTCTATGTCTTTAGGTAAGTCAGAAAAAGTTGTTATAAGGTTTAAACAAATTTGATTCCGTTTTTTTTGACAAATTTTGTTGGAACATCATCTTAGAAACCTGTAAGCCATATACCATACTTCTACCCCATAATGGTTTATAAGCAGAAGTTGTTTTAAGGTTTTAACAAATTTGACCCATGTGAGCTTGAATATTGGTCAATGTCATTTCTTTTCACAAAAACTGCTGGGCTTCATTCTAAGAACCTTTCACTGAAATACCATGCTTCAGCACCTTTTGGTTTGTCAGAAGAAGTCATTTTAAAGTTTTAACAAATCGATCAAGGTCATTCCTTTTTTGCAAACTTGATGGGGCTTCATCCAAGGAACTGCTCAGCCACATACCATACTTCTGTGCCTTTTTGTTAGTCAGAAGGCATTGTTCAAAGCTTTTAACAAATTTGACTCCTGTGACCTTGAATACTGGTTAAGTTAGTTTATTTTTTCAAACAATTTAGGGCTTCATCTCTGCAACTCAACCAAATACCATGACATTTGGTCAGCCAGTTCTTGAGAAGAAATCTTTTAATTGAAATGAAATGAAATATGCCAGTTCATGCACCATGGCATAAGCATACTTGGCCATTTGGGCCATGTGAGCTAAAAAAAACTATAGAAGTCACTGCTGCAGTTTTCGAAAGGTCAGAAATATGAAAATGTCAATGGATGACATACAAAAGACAAAAAAGTTTTGTTCTGTGATCTTAAAAAAAATCAGCAGTTTAGAGGTTACAAGTTTTAAGACTTTGACAGATTTTTGAGTCAAAAGGTTCAAACCACATCAATATACAATGATCCTTTACACATCAATCAACTAAATTTACCAAGCAATCAATCATTCTACCTCGATCTGAGATCAATCAGTGTGCTTGATTATTTGGACCTGCTGTTGTGGTCGACACAATTCATCCTCTACGATTTATTTGTGTATTTTGCTATCAGCCATTGTTTGAACTGTCTGCCATATTTTATGACCATTGGGACCACTAAGTCAATATTCATCAAATCAGCTCAGTGGAAAAGTCATCGACAGACTGCAGAGTTTGAATAGAAGTTGATTGAAAGAACAGGTGTACGGTCACATTTTGATTTGGAACAAAATTGGCCTTTAACCCATTTCCTTGGTCAGGTAATGCATTAACAGGAAAACGACATCTTCAAACTGCATCTCTTAGCTAAAAGACTCTAACATGAGGCCCAGGGTCCTGAATGGTCATCTGAGTGAACTCACCAACAGAAACACTTGAATGAAAAATGCTATTCGTACATGGACAGAAGAGATTAACTTTAAGAACCTTGCATCAGTGAAGAATACCCCTGGTATATGATTCTACAATATTTGGGTACTAAGAAGAGTTCTGTAATTTCAGATAATTTGATCCTTTATGGCTATGCCTATCAGCCCTTGGGGGTCAGCATCAGTAAAGCACCTTAAGACTCTTCCATCCATGAAGAGTATTTGATTCTACCATATTTGAGTATTGAGATGAAGATTTGTTTTCAAATTTCAGCCAATTTGATCCTTTTTGGCCATGCCCATCAGTCCTTAGGGGTCAGTCTCGGTCAATATGTAAATAGCATCAAACTGTCATCCTATACTAACAATTCTAACTAGGTTTGATCGATTTCCAATAGAAAATATACAAATTATGCTCAAACAAGTAATTTTCCTATATAAACTATAACAAACTTGACTCTCTTCCTGGGGTAAATGTGAGACCCCAGGATCATAAAATCTGCAATTTTCCATTCATGAAAAATATTTTATTCTATCATATTAAGGTATGTATCGAGAAAAAGATTTAAAAAATTTCTGTCAATTTGACCCTTTTTGGCCTGCCCCTTCAGGCTCCTAGGGGATGGGGACCATATATTTCGTGGAAGGTTTTTGCCAAATTTCAGTGAAATTTTCAGTGGATTTGCCAAAAGAAGTAAAAACATAGAAAGTTTATGTACACATGACGGACAATGCCGGACAAAAGATTAGTGCAATGGGTCACCATGAGACTTTGTCTCAGGTAATTTAAAAAGTACTGAAGAGCCACAAGATATATTCAGAAGATTGGCTAAAGAGACCTAGTATGTATCTATATGAAAATGAACACCTTAACAACAGGCTGGCACAAGCTATTTGAGTAACAGCATAACTATAAGAAATTTTTAAAAAGGGTGTGTTATCAGATAAAGATAGAAAAGTTTGACTCAATTCCTCAGTTTAGTAATCTTTGTTATGTCTGCATACACTAAAAAATATGGAAACAAGATTTCAACAAACTGAGATTCACTTCGGGCTACTTCTATAAATTCCTTGGGAAATGTTGTTAGATATTCTTGTATAAAATTCAAATGTATTATGTAGAATATCGATCAAGGTCATTTCTTAGCTACTTTGTATCACTCCCTGCTAAAATGGTAGTTAAGTAGAATGTCATGACTTTTAGCCTTTCTGTTCTGGAGAAAAAGACGCTTGAGAATTACAATAATTATGAAGGAAAGAAGAAAGGAATGGAAGGAAGGAAGGAAAGAAGGGGTTAAGGAATGAAGGAAGGAAGGAAGGAAGGCTGACAGACAGACAGACAGCTAGACAGACAGACAGACAGATAGACATATGACGTGAGATTTAAAAAAAAGTTTTCCATCAAGGTGCACATATCAAACATACTACGTTATATTCTAAAGACAAAAGCTTGTATGCTGATATAGCTATCAACTAAATTGACAATAAAATCTTGAGGCCATACAGTAAGTTCTGTCTGTGTAAATTGTCCTCTCGATAACCTCGGGGCTCTTAATGAATGATGGTGGAAACACAGCAATATTTATAACACTGCCGCATGTCTAGAATAAACCTCTGCCAGAACAGAAATTGACACCATCGTTGGAGTTGAAATGTAGCCAACTTCTTCTCCTATTTTGTTTGATTTGTTTTTTTTAGAAATGGTAGTAAGATTTATGAAATCCAAAGTACGTCTATTGTGAGAAAATGATAAACAATGTTTCTGTTCCAGTTTTATGTGAAATTGAAAAAATGGGAAGAAAAAAGTGAGTTTTTTTATGTTTAAATGGTAGGAATAGCTCATACATCTGAAAGAATGACTTTACTGTCCACAAAAAACTCATTAATTATTAGCAATTTGATACACTCCAAGAAAGTCAACAGTTTCTGAGAAGCTCTGATCTGTGAGAGATATTAAAATCTTTTCCTTGACACAAGAAAGTCAATAGCAGGTGATATAAATCAGGCCAAGGTGTATTTGTTCAGTAAACAGAAGATAACCTTCAAAACACAGACTCAGGTAAAAAATAAAAGTAAGTGCAGAAAGTGTAATATGCAAGATTTTCTCACGATTGGTAATCAATTACGTCTGCGATTTCTGTCAATATCATTATACAGCGGGTTATACTCTTACTTCTCACTAGGGATTTACACATCAGAAACTATTGACATTGCATCTCATTTGAAGGTTCATAACACAGAAATTTGCTGTTTAATATCATGAATAGAATTCTGTGTTTGTTTGTTTTTTCCCCCAGAAATATTGCTTTATCTAGACAAAGGAATTAAAATGTACCATATTCATCCGACAATAAGTCCATGCCTGGTAATAAGACTGCCCATAAATCACAAATCCATGCTATTCATTGACTTTGAGCAAGTATTTTGTCAGTTTGCCCCTTAGTGTAATTCAAGATAAAATTATCAATCATTATTATTATTGTATTAACAATATTAACTATCATTTTTATTCTTGTGGTTTATAAATGTATGAAACTATTGTTTGACTGAAAGTCAACCTCTTGTTTTTTTTTTGAAGACAAGGATAATATAACCAAGGTGCTGAAGTAAGCTTTGTTTATCATTAAGTACACTTTTTAATTTTTACCTTTAAATAAAGCCAGAGTTGACTCTTTTTTTTTAACTTTTTATCCTAATCAGAAACTGAAAGTTGAATTTTCAGTCAAGGTTATTTATACATTCAATAACAAAAGGTCCAATGGGCCTGCAGCACTCACCTGGCATATATATATACCTCAAATATGTCTCTTGGCCTTTAAGTTCATGAGAAAAAGTCGTCTAATATTTTTTAAAAATTTGACCCCTGTGACCTTGAACATAGGCCATTTTTCCCTCAAATTTTGCCTTTATCCTAGGAACATACCAGCCAAATATCATGCCTATAGGCCTTTTAGTTCATGAGAAGTCGTTTAAGGTTTTCACAAATTTGACCCCTGTGACCTTGAATATAAGTCAAGGTCATTTCTTTTCCCAAACTTTGCCAGACTTCAGCCTAGGAACATACCAGTCAAATATCATGCTTCTAGGCCATTAGTTCATGAGATGAAAATCATTTAAAGGTTTTAACAACTATGATGATCAGATCCCTTTGACCTTGAATACAGGTCAAGGTCATTTCTTTTCCAAAAGTTTGTAGGGTTTCATTCTAGGAATATACTATCAAAATATCAAAACATTTGGTCCATTGGGTATTGAGAAGTTGTTTAGAGGAACAAGAGGCCTAACAGCCTTGACATTCTTCTGAGATAAGCAATACTGAATGTAAAGGTTAAAGGGTAGTTGTCAAGTGTCATGAAACAGAAATTCTGAAACTGAAGATATAGTAAGCCAGTGTCAATACATGTATACCATCAAAACTCTTATCCTATATCAATAATTCTTATGAAGTTATTTCCAGTGGGAAATAACCAACGTTATAAAGAGTGATAACAAATTTTCGAAGTCAAAATTCCAAGATGGCCGCTTGTGGACCATTTTGTTTTTTCTGATGAGTACCAAAATCCAATGGGCACAATTACGGATCATGGAAAGCATGCATGAAATTTGAGAAAGATCTATGCTGTAGTTATCAAGAAATAGTGATAAAATACTTTCAAACTCAAAATCCAAGATGTCCATCTGACAGCTATTTTGTTTTTCTGATCAGTCCCAAAATCAAATGGGCACAACTAGGGACCAAGGAAAACAACCACGTGCAATAACGAAAATTGTTTATGGATGAATGACTAACAAATGATGTAGTGCGATTTGAATAGCCCACCACCTGATGATGGTGGGCTAAAAATAGTAAGATAACATTAACAACATTGTACACATAATGCAAATGTAAACCCATCAGCCCATAGGGGTCAGCCAAGGTCAATATCTCACCGAACTGTCAGCTTATATTAATAATTCTAACAATGTTTAAAAGTATTTGGTTCTACATGTTCTGCATATTGATAAGAAGGTTTTTGAAACTTCAGTCAGTTTGATCCAATTTTGGCCCAACCCAACATACCCTTGGGGTCAGCCAATGTCAATATGTGCATCTCATCAAATTGTCATCTTATACTCATAATTCTGACCAAGTCTAAACTATTTCCAACAGAAAATAAACAAATTATGTTCAAAAATATAATTTTCCTTTATAAACTATAGTAAACTTTACCCCCTCCCCTGGGGAAATGTGAGACCCTGGGGTTTTGAAATTTTCAACTTTGGTTAAGCTTTTCCATCCATGAAGGGGGTTATACCATACGTGGGATTTGAGAAGATTTTTGAAGTTTCAATCAATTTGACCCCTCAGACCCCTAGGAGTTGGGGTCCATATAATTCACAATTTTGGTGTGCCTTTAACCATGGAAAATTTTTGAAAAATTTCATTGAAATCGTTTCAGGATTTTTCCAGAAGAAATAGAAAATGACAAAAGGGGATGGTAATTGGTCTCTCTGTGATTCAGATAACCTAAAAACAACTAAAGTTTTGACCTGTGAATATTTACAGCTACTAGGGTATGTGATCAATTTTTTAATGCATGTTGGTACTTTCTGTGGTCGTTTCAACTAGCATTTCAATATCACTTGATGAATATTTATATGGTGTATATCGTTACTGGTCACAAAAAAAGACTGCCAAATAGGATATTGTCTGGTCGATACTATTAACAGTCATTTAGCTGCCTAGTGCACTATTATCAGAAGCGCAATCTATTGAACTCTGCGTGGACATATCTGTCTCCAGAGAGAACAAAAAGATCATTAAACATGTCCATGTAATTAAATATACAGAGACCAGTACCATTACTATGTGATTATGTTGGCTGTAGATTAATTAGACAGAATAAGTAGTATGTTTGTTAACTACCACGGTGCACTGAGGTTGACTGATAAACATATGGTGAAGATTATTAGCCTCAAAATGATTCTGCAAATTATCTCAAAATAAGTAAAATTTCAGACGCATGGTAATTATCTGTGTACTCCTTAAAGAATGCCATCAATATTTCATGGGTATGGCATTGAATTTAAATACTCTCATGAGTGTGTTGACCATGTGACTGAAACTATTGCATTCTGACTCATATAAATCATATTCAACAGGAACATAGAGATAATTACATTTATTACACTTTTAGAATTCCCTTTTTTATATCAAAAAACTGTTTTAGAATATCAGAATCTTTTTGCCAGGTGATAACTACAAGCTTTATATCTTACATCCATTCTTATAAGCCAATGAAAACTTCAGGTCCCATGATTGATATCTATATTCATTGCATTGTTTTAGATTTCAATATCTTAAACCAAATATTTTTCAACACAATTCAATATTTCTTTCTTCAACTAAAATCAACATTTTCATTCAATTAATAATTTCCACTATTTCAATGGTAACTTTGTAAAAAGAGGTCCAATAGGCCTGTGATGTTTCGCATAACTTAGCTTGATAGTGAGTCCAGGCCAAAATTAATTATACATTCTACAGTTACTTTAAGCTTTAATCTATGATATTTAAAAAATTTTTGCCCTTCACATCAGCGACCTTCAGGGCAAATATTACTCTCATGCTCTCAAATGTTACTCCTTTAATCTTAAAGACATTAAAATCTTTTAATGCCTTGACCTCTGTGACCTTTGAAGAAAGTCAAGTTCCTTCCAATGAAGAAATTTAATATTTCTTTATCTCAGTGACCTTGATAGTGGTACAATATTATTGATTTTATCTCAGTGACCTTGATAGTGGTACAATATTATTGATTTTATCTCAGTGACCTTGATAGTGGTACAATATTATTGATTTTATCTCAGTGACCTTGATAGTGGTACAATATTATTAATTTTATCTAACTTGATGCCATTCATGTTACATTGGCTTTTTGTATTTAAGAGTGGTTGTTTAAAATTTGAAACTACAGAGATGGATGCCTATAACTAAAGGATACATATGAATAATATTTTCATCAATGTAGCCGAGACTTTGGAATTGAGTCAAGGTCATTAATTTGAATGAACTTAGAAGTCCTTCCTCCCAGCATGCTGCTGGTCCAATTTCCATCCCCTGGGCCACTTGGTTATTGAGAAGTTGTTTCTAGATTTTTTAACACATTTGACCCTTGTGACCTTGAAAATGTTATACATTTGTTATGCTTTTCTTCTGAATGGAAATAGTTATAGGAAGCCTTATTAAAAGAGAAATGATAATTGCATAATAGATTTGCAACATCATTAAAGTGATATACAAAATGATAAGTTGTTTTAAACACACAGCAAAATCATGTATACTTAGTACAAAACCTGCACATTGGGAAGCCATGATATTATTTGCTACAGACAGGAAGTGACATCACTCACCTTTGCCCCAGACAATCCTCTTCTCATCAATATAATATTCGTCGTCTCTAACATTACGTCTCTCTCCCGCTTTGTTAATTTTCCATTCCACATGCGCTTTGCCTCTCAACACCAAACGGATACCTGAAAAATAGTGGTGACATTCATTTCTCATGGCCTCTTACTTGCATGAAATGCGTATGATTTTTGACATAATAAACACTGTGGGTACTACCAGAATAAATCAACAAATGTTCGTGAGCAATGATTTAATTTTGGGAACAGAACAATTACAGTCAAGAGGCTAATAGGGCCTGTATTGCTCACCTGGTTTTGATTGACAGAAATTGTTTTTTTTAAACTAAAGGAAAAGACTGCCAAAGATTTTTATCTATTTCCCACTTTGGCCGGCCCTACCTCTTTGCCCCAAGGAGGGGGGGGGGGTCAGCCCAACCATTTATACAGAAGTTGTATTCACCTATTAGGATGCTTCAAACTAAAAGACAAAATTTTGACACTTCTACATAAGATAAAGGATTTTAAAGAATACTTCTGACCAAAGTTGGCCAAAATCTGATTTGTTGATCATGGTTGATAGTGGTTTTAAGAACAAGAGGTGCACAGGCCTTACAGTCATCTGACTATAAAGACATTTATATGAATAGGCCTAAAATGAATTGCTCAACTGCTCTACAGCTTACAAAAAAAAAATGTTGGTTCATAAAAACATTTTCTGCGATCTTGAAATCACATTCTTTATACATGCTACTACAAGAAAGTCATTACTCCAGACCAATTGCTTGATATATGAAGATCTCAAACCATTTAACCAAAGAAACCTTCGTTATAGGTCAAGGTCAAATCATTTGAATAAACTGGTAGTCTTCATCCATTTATGTTAAAGAACTAATATCAATAGCCTAGACCTTTTTATTATTGAAAAAAATTTGTTTGAAAGATTTTAACATATTTGACCCCTGTGACCTTGAAATTAAGTCAATATGAACACACTTGGTAGCCCTTCATCCCATCATGCTACAGGTCCAATATTTGCATCTTGTGTCTTTTGGTTATTGAGAATGTATTGGTTTACATTATCAAATTTGATGTGATCAACAGTCTGTGCACAAGGTACCTATACACGAAGAAAAGTATAAAAAATTACTTACTAACCACTCTAGGTTTTTACCAGAATAAGACAATTCAGTGAATTACAGTCCCCTACCAACATACTGCTTCACCAACCTGAACCCATAAACCAAGTATAAAGTTTCAATGACTACTAATGTAGGAGATAGACCCAAGACAAACTTCTTCTTTGATGTAGGTCAAAGTTTAAAATGAAGGTCACAATGACCTACTTTTAATATGTGACAAACTATCTCACCAAGGTGACCTGTATCCCAAGAACAAGATTTCCATGTTTAGTAGTGTATGAGATAGGGCCAGGACAAAAAGGGAGCTTGAATATAACGTCCTACTCATGATCAGGGGATGGGTTTATCACAGACAAATAAAGAAGCATTAACCTATGGTCTTATCACACAGCAGTATAAAAGAATAGGCTTAATAATGGACATGAACCTTTTGTAGGACAAATAAGGTAAGTAATCATTTACATTTTAATTGAAGGCGCCGTTTGAAGTCAGACTGATAACAAAGGTGATGTATTTTACAGTCACTTTAACAAATAATCTCTCACATTTCTTAGCCAAGGGAACACTTCTCTAGCAGTGTTGTCTGACATAGTGTGACAGTTCCGACACTATATCTCCCAAGACAACACTTAGAGGAACAGTTCCCCCAGGAAAAGGACATAATAGATTTAGTACATCACGCGACAGTAAACCTTGTCTGATGGCGATCCGAGCTCCTGGGATATACATATCTCCATTCATTGTTTCTGACATTAGGCAATAAAGACAGAAACTGACTAATAAATCGAGAATTGAGTAATTTACATACAAGTCAGGGGTCACTTCACATTTCCTATTCACTTTCCCTGCACAAATTTCCTGAACACAGTTATGGTGAATTTTGTCAGCTGTTCAGTGTTTGTTGTGACTAAGCAAATAAGTCCAAACACTGTGTTAAAACTGGTGAATGGAAGACTGGTATGACAAAACGTCAGATCTGTAATATCTGATATTATAAATAATGGCTAAATTAACTGTAAATTGATTTTTTTTTGCAATGTGATAAATTATCCTACCATCAAATTATAAGCTCTACAGTTAATCATCTGATAACTGCTTAAAGATTCTGAGAAATCTTGTAGCTTTGAAAGTGGACCATAGAAATCTATTTTAAGAAATTTGATACCCTTTCACCACAACATGCTTCAGGCCAAATATAAAGAATCCAAAGCCATTGTTGATTCTCATTTTGATCCAAACGAATTTGAAATCCTGTCATTTATCTTACTAGAGACGCACGTGCCCACATAGTCATATAAATATGAAGACTTACAACAGGGAAAATGTTTATCATTTTGATATTCACACCATTTTCAGCAAAATCCCACTAAAAGTCTGTTTTCCAAAATAGCAGTTGTAACCATTAGTGGGTCAGAAGTCATAACATAATGATCATATGTCAGGTAGCAACTTATTAAGTAGAGATTGGAAACAAATTATTTGAAACCTTATTTGGTCCTTCCTCAAAGGGTCAAATGTCTGTGAATTCTATTTATACAAAATTGATTCCTTCTTTAACCAAGGATGCTTCAGACCAAATTGGAACAAAATCTTGCCATTTCTATAGAAGAAGCATTTTGAAGAATTTGCTCTACATCCAATATTGGGTCCCACCATTCCTGTCCCCAGGACCAAGTCCTACAATTTATACAAAATTGATTCCTACTTTAACCAAAGATGCTTCAGACCAAATTTGGTCAAAATTTGCTTATTCATTCATGACTAGTTGTGATTAATAAGAATCAAAGAGCCGAAGGCACTTAAAGATGCTGTGCATGAAGTATCAAAATAAAGGGATAAAGCAAGTGATTATCAGAATATAACTTTATGAAGCATATATTTGATTTAGCCTCTTATTGGAAACTATCAGGAAAGGGTATTTTCTATATATGACAAGTACCATCATGACTGATGACACTATAAACCATTTACGACAAAATGAGACTTCAATTTCAAAAAGTGACCTTGAACATTACCCTATGATATATTTGCTTGTCTAAGGTAAGTAGGTCTAAATGAACATAAATATGGAATTTAAACCCTGAAACATTGATTGATTTATGCTATCACAAAAAATAACAGTGACTAGGGTATATTCAAGTTGAACATGTTCTCCGATGGCTGATGTGTGATACCAGAGTCGTGTGGGATAAACAATAGATCCTAGAGAGATATCTGCAACATAATTTTGCAATTTTTCTTTTCTCTGAAATTGCTTCTAAATCGATTACACACATCTTGGGATCAATGTGCACACATCTAGGGACAAACAAAAGCAATACTTATCATACAGAGAAACTAGAGAATTATATACCCAGTCATTCTCAATGCAAGAAATTTAAAGAAATAAAACAAATGATAACTGTAAAAGTCCATGAAGGCTGCCTATTAGCCAGTATTTACAAAAAAGTTTATTCCATATCAAAATGATGTTTAAATCAGTCTCAAAATACATAAAGCACAACCAGGGACAATCATCTGGAATGTAAGATTGTCAAACAATTCAGATCTTGTCAAGAAGTTGCAGCAAGTTCAATCTGTTGGAATTCATGTTTATTGGTTTATAATGTTCCACTATCTGTAATAATGCATTCACAAATCAGTGAGGGTACAAGTAATCAACCGTCACTGAAGGCTGTAAGTGGAGGTTCTAAACTAGTGCAGCTTACATAAATCCATATCCATGGATTTCAAGATAAGGACAATATAACAACAAAACGGAAATAGTTGAAAGGTTGCATTGCCTCTAAAATGGACTTCACACTTTCGTTTTTTCACTGTTAGGACTTACCACAAGAAACATTTAAAAAACATTTTAATTTATTTTAATAGCATATATCATATCATAAGGCAGTTTACAACAAGTCCTAAAATATGATCTTAGGAAAGACATGTCATAAACATTTCCAGCTACATTAAAATCCATCAAAGTCATTGCTACCATTTCAGCAGTTGGTTAAACAGCACCAGTGTTATGGTGGACATCCATGTCAGAACTAATGTGCAAACACCCCATTGAAATATTAAATATTTATAACATTGATGTGATGTCATTTCTGTAATGATATTTGAACCTCTTCTACACAAATTCCATTTAATTTCTATGTCAATATTATGGATGAAATACACAAGATAAATGAATTAATTTTTTGCATTGATCACAGACCTGCATGCATTTCTATGGAGGAGATGAAGACCACTATTTTGATTTGTACTGCAAAAATATGTCAAATCCACTTACAATGTCAAATATGTTGCTTGATTTTATTCAAAATACCAAAAAAAAAAAAAAATTGAAGCATGCGAACCTTGCAGGATCCTGTGTTTATTTTAACACTTTTGCACGGTAAGGTTGGCTGCCAAGTCGTCTGCTTGAATTCAGATTACCACTGCGTTGTTTGAGAGCTTTTCTTATCAGAGATTGAAAAGTATCCACATCCCATGGTTATTATGCATTATGAGTAGACAAGTCTGTCACTTTGAGTAGAATAAGTGTTTGAGCACTGTTCCCATTCAAGCACTGGTAAGGTTAGTATACGTCAGTACTGCTGGCCAATATATGACAGTACAGAGGAGAAAAATATAAACAGAGAGATTCAGTAAAATCTTCTTAAGTTTCAAAAAAGGTTGGATGTAATCATCATGATTTTGTAATTGCAATTTGTCATATATGACATTAAACATACTTGATATTAACAGGATTTTGCTTGTTCTCTTTAGTAATAATTCTAAGAGTAGTTTACCTGATATGAATAAATGATAAAAACATGATACAGTATTGATTTTATACTTACATTCGGACATAAAAATAAACATGATCCTATGAATAATTTGTAAAAAACTACAGTATCGGTGCTATTAGGTCAATGGCACTATTGAATTCAGTTTAAGCCTTCATAGCTCACTGAGTGCAAAATGGTCAAACCTTCATAGCTCAATGAGGGCAAAATGGTCAAACCTTCATAGCTCACTGAGTGCAAAATGGTCAAACCTTCATAGCTCACTGAGTGCAAAATGGTCAAACCTTCATAGCTCACTGAGTGCAAAATGGTCAAACCTTCATAGCTCACTGAGTGCAAAATGGTCAAACCTTCAGAGCTCACTGAGTGCAAAATGGTCAAACCTTCATAGCTTACTGAGTGCAAAATGGTCAAACCTTCATAGCTCACTGAGTGCAAAATGGTCAAAACACATGTCTTTATACATAATCCTATAAGCTGTATTTATATATTTATCATCAATAAAAATGTTATATCAACAAACATTACTTTGACAAGGACTTCATAAAGTGAACCAAAATCAATATGTTGTTGTTTATTCTCATCACAATAAAATATGTGTAACTCAGATTGTCTTCCTTATATTCTTAATGTCATGTGTCTGTGTAACTCTCTAGATTATTGTCCTCATGTGTCTGTGTAACCCTCTAGATTATTGTCCTCATGTGTCTGTGTAACTCTCTAGATTATTGTCCTCATGTGTCTGTGTAACTCTCTAGATTATTGTCCTCATGTGTCTGTGTAACTCTCTAGATTATTGTCCTCATGTGTCTGTGTAACCCTCTAGATTATTGTCCTCATGTGTCTGTGTAACCCTCTAGATTATTGTCCTCATGTGTCTGTGTAACCCTCTAGATTATTGTCCTCATGTGTCTGTGTAACTCTCTAGATTATTGTCCTCATGTGTCTGTGTAACTCTCTAGATTATTGTCCTCATGTGTCTGTGTAACTCTCTAGATTATTGTCCTCATGTGTCTGTGTAACTCTCTAGATTATTGTCCTCATGTGTCTGTGTAACTCTCTAGATTATTGTCCTCATGTGTCTGTGTAACCCTCTAGATTATTGTCCTCATGTGTCTGTGTAACTCTCTAGATTATTGTCCTCATGTGTCTGTGTAACCCTCTAGATTATTGTCCTCATGTGTCTGTGTAACCCTCTAGATTATTGTCCTCATGTGTCTGTGTAACCCTCTAGATTATTGTCCTCATGTGTCTGTGTAACCCTCTAGATTATTGTCCTCATGTGTCTGTGTAACTCTCTAGATTATTGTCCTCATGTGTCTGTGTAACTCTCTAGATTACTGTCCTCATGTGTCTGTGTAACCCTCTAGATTATTGTCCTCATGTGTCTGTGTAACTCTCTAGATTATTGTCCTCATGTGTCTGTGTAACTCTCTAGATTATTGTCCTCATGTGTCTGTGTAACCCTCTAGATTATTGTCCTCATGTGTCTGTGTAACTCTCTAGATTATTGTCCTCATGTGTCTGTGTAACTCTCTAGATTATTGTCCTCATGTGTCTGTGTAACTCTCTAGATTATTGTCCTCATGTGTCTGTGTAACTCTCTAGATTATTGTCCTCATGTGTCTGTGTAACTCTCTAGATTATTGTCCTCATGTGTCTGTGTAACTCTCTAGATTATTGTCCTCATGTGTCTGTGTAACTCTCTAGATTATTGTCCTCATGTGTCTGTGTAACTCTCTAGATTATTGTCCTCATGTGTCTGTGTAACTCTCTAGATTATTGTCCTCATGTGTCTGTGTAACCCTCTAGATTATTGTCCTCATGTGTCTGTGTAACTCTCTAGATTATTGTCCTCATGTGTCTGTGTAACTCTCTAGATTATTGTCCTCATGTGTCTGTGTAACCCTCTAGATTATTGTCCTCATGTGTCTGTGAAACTCTCTAGATTATTGTCCTCATGTGTCTGTGTAACTCTCTAGATTATTGTCCTCATGTGTCTGTGTAACTCTCTAGATTATTGTCCTCATGTGTCTGTGTAACTCTCTAGATTATTGTCCTCATGTGTCTGTGTAACTCTCTAGATTATTGTCCTCATGTGTCTGTGTAACTCTCTATATTATTGTCCTCATGTGTCTGTGTAACCCTCTAGATTATTGTCCTCATGTGTCTGTGTAACTCTCTAGATTATTGTCCTCATGTGTCTGTGTAACCCTCTAGATTATTGTCCTCATGTGTCTGTGTAACCCTCTAGATTATTGTCCTCATGTGTCTGTGTAACTCTCTAGATTATTGTCCTCATGTGTCTGTGTAACTCTCTAGATTACTGTCCTCATGTGTCTGTGTAACTCTCTAGATTACTGTCCTCATGTGTCTGTGTAACTCTCTAGATTATTGTCCTCATGTGTCTGTGTAACCCTCTAGATTATTGCCCTCACTTATCTTTTATCACATTTGTGTGTAACTCTCAAATGTTTGCCTCATGTGTGTTGTCATATCTGTAAGTCTAGATAGTTCTCATGTGTGTTGTCATATCTGTAAGTCTAGATAGTTCTCATGTGTGTTGTCATATCTGTAAGTCTAGATAGTTCTCATGTATGTTGTCATATCTGTAAGTCTAGATAGTTCTCATGTGTGTTGTCATATCTGTAAGTCTAGATAGTTCTCATGTGTGTTGTCATATCTGTAAGTCTAGATAGTTCTCATGTGTGTTGTCATATCTGTAAGTCTAGATAGTTCTCATGTGTGTTGTCATATCTGTAAGTCTAGATAGTTCTCATGTGTGTTGTCATATCTGTAAGTCTAGATAGTTCTCCTCATGTGTGTTGTCATATCTGTGTGTAACTCTCAATAGTTCTCCTCATGTCTGTTGTCACTTCTGTGTGTAACTCTAGATTGTTGTCCTCACATGTGTGTTGTCACTTCTGTGTGTAACTCTAGATTGTTGTCCTTACATGTGTGTTGTCACTTCTGTGTGTAACTCTAGATTGTTGTCCTCACATGTCTGTTGTCACTTCTGTGTGTAACTCTAGATTGTTGTCCTCACATGTCTGTTGTCACTTCTGTGTGTAACTCTAGATTGTTGTCCTCACATGTCTGTTGTCACTTCTATGTGTAACTCTAGATTGTTGTCCTCACATGTCTGTTGTCATTTCTGTATCTCTAGATTGTTGTCCTCACATGTCTGTTGTCACTTCTGTGTGTAACTCTAGATTGTTGTCCTCACATGTCTGTTGTCATTTCTGTAACTCTAGGTTGTTGTCCTCACATGTCTGTTGTCACTTCTGTGTGTAACTCTAGATTGTTGTCCTCACATGTCTGTTGTCACTTCTGTGTGTAACTCTAGATTGTTGTCCTCACATGTCTGTTGTCACTTCTGTGTGTAACTCTAGATTGTTGTCCTCACATGTCTGTTGTCATTTCTGTAACTCTAGATTGTTGTCCTCACATGTCTGTTGTCACTTCTGTGTGTAACTCTAGATTGTTGTCCTCACATGTCTGTTGTCATTTCTTATTGTAACTCTAGATTGTTGTCCTCACATGCCTGTTGTCACTTCTGTGTGTAACTCTAGATTGTTGTCTTCATGTGTTGTCTGATCTGTGTGTAACTCTAGACTGTTTTCCTTGTGTCTGTTGTCAGATCAATGTGTAACCTTACATTGCTGTCCTAATGTGTGTCGTCACATCTGTGTTTGACTCTAGTTTGTTGTCCTCACATGTCTGTTGTCATATCTGCCTGTAACTCTAGATTGTTGTCCTCATGTGTGTTGTCATATCTGTGTGTAACTCAAGATTATCATTTTCATTAGCTATTGTCACATCTGTGTGATACTCTAGATCATTGTCCTCATATCTCGGTTATCTTCTCCAGCATTTAAATCAGGTATTGATCCTCTATTGCGTGTTTCTTCTTCACAGCGAGCTTAAGACGAATCAACTTCCCATTATCACGAGAAATGGATTGTTTTAGATCGAGATGAATTATTTCCTTCCTGACAAGAGTGTCTGTTTTTCATTGCAGCAGTCATACTGTTAGTAGTACGGAAGACAACGATTTATATAACCCGTACATCTGTGCCCAAAGAGGAAGAAAGCACTTGACTTGTATTCTTTCAAGTACATTTATTGTACTCTGGAGGTGTATATCCTGAGGAGAAGTCACAGGACCAGAATCCCTGGGGAAGAACAATGACTTGGAATTCTTCTAATTTGGAAAGTTGGAAAGATGCCAAACTCCAACCCCTCTTCCGAAAACTGCCAGATGTCGAAAATATTTTCATGGAAACAAAATGGAAAAATTTCCTTGTAAAATCTTCTCTTATTCAAAAAGTGAAGGATTTTAAAACTGGCAATAAACACACATTTATTGATGTTTAAAAAGAATTTTTAAAAAATTCCATTCAGTAGCTAGACCTACAAGATGGTAGTGTCTTTGCCCCCTTAGCTTGTTACACAATAAAATGAGGTTCTAGAATCTGGAACACCAATACACATGTAAAACAACAAAAAAATAAAAAAAAAAATGCTCAGTGTTTGACAATGAAAAACGAACGAAGACAATGTCATTCCTATTATCCTTCTAACTTTGAAGGTCAGCTTTACCTAAATCACTTTCAGTGTGTTCACACTTCTCTCCGTGTACCTGGTGCTACATAACTTTGTGATACAGTATCGGCTCTGTGTCAATTGATACACATGAATATATGCATGAACTCATTCTCTGTGCAATTGCTTTTGTACTCAATGTATGTTTGTTTCAGGAGAGTATTGATCAGAAAGCACATCCTACCCGGTTAATGGCGCACACATCCTACCACTCAACAACCCATTAGTTTAGCATTATTTAAACAACTTCATTTTTTTACCTTAAGCATGTCTATAGCTGTAATAAAGCATAGTTACAAATATATCCATCATTTACATGAATATAGTTTTTAGTTCTAATATAACATTTATATTTTTTATTTCTTCTATCATTTAAGCATCGCAATAAATTTTTTTTTAATCTGAAAATTTCTCAGCCTCTAACATTGAGTTACAACTCCCAATGGAGTCTCCTCCTCAATCTTTCAGTTTATGCCAGTAAATAAAACTTACCGTGTACTTTTATATTCTCTGTGACCCGGGCAATGACATTTCCAGTCAACACCTCACCAGCATAATAAACATCTTTGTCAAGTTCGATGTCAAACTTTTTCACGTAATCCATGGCGTGCACACTATTCATTTAAAGGGTGGCCACTTTTGCTTGTCAGATTCAAATGTCATAACTTGGTCAGTCTACCTCCTAAATATGTCCATTCCTTGTCACCTCTACAACAGAAGAAAAGTTCATCTTTAAAACTTGGCATTGCTCAAATAATCAAATCTGATTTCAGTGTTCTTATCTTAAGAGTCCTTAACCATAAATCATAGGAATATTTTAAATCCTTATATCTTTCTTCTCTTTTTGTGTTCTTCTTTGTATCCCTGGAAATCTCTGTCAGAATGATGTGAACCAAGTCACAAGTCTCCTACATCCATTCTGTGACTTTCCCCAGAGTTTGGATAACACCATATTGATCTCACAATAAGCCCAGTACCAATACAAAACATCTTATGTCAAGATGTGGCCTCAATGAAAAATCTTTGGTTAAAATTTACAGAACTGAGATAAAGGATATAGATGGGCTTATTACTGGACATTTAGGCCAATTGCTAAATAAATACTCTAACTACACTACCAGTGTCATTCTTGTTTTTCGTTCATTACAAACAACTTCAAAAGCATTCATATCTGCTGCAAAATAGTACTGACCGAGAGTGTTGACACACATGTACTGACATAGACATCGGATATTTGCACTAGTGATACATGGTGATAGGATATCACAGACAATGGACCAACAGATCACAGCAATGTAAGCCATGATATTTCAACAAAAACATATGGTTTGATATCAAATTAGCAATATTACAAATGTCAGGGATTTGTGAAATCAATACAATATCAAAATTGTAGGTTTTTGTATTAATCTATCAAACGTTAAACAGGAAGTATTATTCCTATAACATAACAGGTTGTTGGTCAACTGATTTCTCATCGGACACTGTATTGGCTATGACACGCTTCGTAAGTTTCTCATCATGCGATCCTTACATTGCAGGAGTAATGTTGGTATGGAATTACATACACAAAGAAGTATTAGAAATGTTTATTTAACAACCATTTATATAATAATACTAATTTTTATGTTTAATTGAATTTTTTCTGATCAAAATTTTTTTAACGTGAAAACACAATTTTTGGAAAGTAACATTCAAATTCCAAGATTATGTAAATGTAAATCTGTTTTCTCGTTCTCTCAATGCACCCCTACTAACAGCTCGTGGACTATTCTATTTGATCTCAAGATCATCAGGACATATTAATAAAGTATCAAGATGACACACTCATTTGGAATGATGAATCAGCACCATTTAATTGTTGATTCGTTACTGTCAGTTTGTAGTTTGTGTTATACAATATCCCCAGGACAGGCATCAAAGACAACGCTGTGTAGCTGCAAAATGAGGACAGGATTCTGATATAAGTACACTGCAGCTATGTGATTAAATCATTTTGAAACAGCTAGATATTCTCACTTAAAAAAACATTTATCTAACAACACACAGAACATGCTTTTAATCTTCGATCACCCAGAATAGACAAGGCTGCATATTAAATACTGTAATATATAGATACTTAGTTCTGGTTAACTTGTGGTAATACTAACATTCATTAGTCTGATCATCCGTATCTACATTTAAATATAATGTTCACCATTCAATACAGTGCATACAGTCCATCTTTGTAAAAGTCCTTAGGAATTTCAATAGTTCATAGACGAGAACTGTGGATTCATGTCAAAGAGGTTTGGTGAAAGTAAATAAAGTGAAATTAACATGGGACTTTACAGTAGACAAAAGGATGTGGGTTTAGGATATTTAAAATGTAACACCCACAAATATGCTTCCGTTTAAATTGGATTTAATTTGTATCAAGTTAATTTTGAAGCAGACTTCCTCAAATAACTTCAAAATATGAACAAGTTAAATAATAAAGACATGAACTAACATTACAAACGGATGCGCGAATTTTCAAAAGTCATCATCCTGAAATAAAATACGATGTGACATTTTTACATGGATAAAGTGTCTTTCTGATGTTGTGTGGAGGTGAACACAACAATGAATACATCCTGTCATGTGACACTGATTAATTCATATGGCACCAATCCATGAGTATGAATTAGAGACGCATCATATCCTGTTTCACATAATCCATAACGGGATATCTCAAAAACGTATCTAGTTATTGCTCTCAGGTGACCTAGAAGTTCTATGAAGGGGTAATAGAATTGAAGTGATGTTTGACATTGCTGATCAATTATTAAACAAAACCTAGAATTTTTTTTCAGAAACAATGTTTTATTCTTTGAAATGGTTCCACTGATCTGTCAAAACTCCAAGGCAGGTGATGGACAATAAAGATGCAGGTTCATCAAACACAGGTCGTGGATTTTACTGATAACAAATACCGGTAAAAAATGCAGGTCGTGGATTTTACCGACGTCAAATACTGGTGAAAAATGCAGGTCATGGATTTTACTGATGTCAAATACTGGTAAAAAATGCAGGTCGTGGATTTTACTGACATCAAATACCGGTAGAAAATGCAGGTGCTATTTCTATTCAATAGCTTTAAAACATTTGTTGACTTACTAGATTTTCATTACCAAGAAGATTGCAATCACATGCTATCATGCATGTGTTGTTTTTGTTTTCCATCAATAACTTTTCATCTACACACTTGGAAAAGAAAGAAAAACAGGGACAGTCATTCAAGGGAAAATTCCAAATGAGTTCCCAATTGCAGCAGATTTAAACATTCCTGTGGGAAAACTTCTGGGTCTAACATCTTAAATTTGAAAGAGTAGATTGACAAGTCTGTGACTGATGATTTAATTGTGAAGCCAATACTATCCCATTCTCAACTACAGTGACATTGGTAACAAAGAGATAACTTTTACAGAAATCATTACAGAGAGTTTAGTCAGTTAATGACAAATGTGATGACAACATCACTTCATTTTGGTAATTTTAAGTTTGCTGTCAAATCTTGCATAGCTTCTTGGAATTTCAGAAATGTTAAAGGAAATGAAGTAGATACAGTAGTTCTTTTCAAATTTGCTATTTATTAATTGAACAAAACTATGTTTAAAAAAAATTCTTTTGTTGTTACATATGACCAGGAAATAGTTGATTAAAAAGGGTAAATCATTATCATAAATAAGGGGAGATAACGCCTTAATCTAGAATATATAATTTGGACTCAGAGCCTCTGTATTGCGCCTTAGTTTTTGGGGAAATTCCTCTCCCTGAAGTAGATGTACTTTTGTCCAAATCAATATGACCTATATACATATTTTTGTATGTGTAATTGTCATTGCCGAAAACTTCTGTGAAAGTTGGAGTAAACATTGAAATTTTGCCAATTTTATATTTTTTGTAGTCTATGTTAACAGAATTCCCAGTACCCAGTTTATAGACGTGTATTGCTTATACACCACCAAATTGTCATATCAATTCAGTATGTTTTAGAAACAAAAAGAAACAATTCTTTTCTTTATTGTAACAATACCAATAAAAGGAATCCTATGTATTCATATGTTTGAGAAATCTTCATCCAGAAGTCAATAAAATATGACGAGACATTTTTACATGGATAAAGTGTCATTCTGATGTTGTGTGGAGGTGAACGCAACAATGAATACATCCTGTCATGTGACACTGATTAATTCATATGGCACCAATCCATGAGTATGAATTAGAGACGCATCATATCCTGTTTCACGTAATCCATAACGGGATATCTCAAAAGTCCAATGTAAAGATGAAAAGACATGAAAAGAACAAAGTGTTTGATCAATAAATCTGAAAGGCCAAGGGGAAGGATGGAAAGCTAATATCTTTCATAGCATATGGAAGTTTGTAAATCCTGAAAGGTTAACATGCCTTGGGAAACAGGGGAATTCTCTTCTGAAAACAGGATATGTTTGACATATACATAAAATGTCATGAAAAAAGCATGAGAAATTTGATTTTATATCTGGATATTGAGGGAAAATATCTGAGGTGTTTTTATGATGGTAAAGTGGCCTTACATAATGATAGTATTCCGACACTTGCGTGTATCTTTTTGCTCGTAATGGTTCTTGATCACAATGTCCAGTATCATTGGTTGGCGTTCATGAATAATTCATTGGCTAGTTAAGGCATAATTGGGCCACAATACACAGTATGTTAATTTAGTTTACTGGTATAAATAACTTACATGGAACTGATAGGTCTATTAGATAGACATGATGTGTGATGGCCAAAAACATCAACTCATATAATTTTTTGTCTTTGTGTCTCTTCTGTTGTGTATCAAAGCACAGATCACAGTGTCTGAAGGAAAATTTACACAAAACAGGAAAAGGCCACATTATGATTCTATAACATTGTGGAGTATATACATCATTTACATGCATTATTGATAAAAGAAACCGTTAAGAATGAAAATCCTCACATGTCATACATAAACCGTGAAAATTACTCAGATTTGTGACAGATGGGACAAAGCAGGTCAGATAAAGGTCAAGGTCACAGTGTGCATAACACTGCAATATTTCCTGGTGCAAATGTTCTTTTCAAGAATTTTAATTAAAGTGTGACATTAGAAATTTCCTTTAATTACTTAATAAACTTCAGAAATATCGGAGATCATAAAATGAATATAGCCACTGGAAATATTTTACCTAATAAATATGGTCATGTGTACTTTCTTGTTGTCCATCAGCTTTGTCCACAATTCTCCTGAATTTACATGTTATGTCAAGTGTTTTTATTTCATTCAATATTAACCCTGATTTAAGTTTTCAAGTGAATACTTATCTATCATTTTGGCTTTGTTTATCTTAGTGAAGTATTTAAAAAATTCTAATTTAAAAAATTCAAATTTATTTCAACGCTTAAGACAGAAAAGTAATAGATATTGAAATTTTATGAAAATCTGTCATAAAATCCTCATTGCTATTTTTTTTGATGAAGAATCTTCTGAAGTTCAGCAAAAGCACCCTGTGATTACAAATATCCTAAATGGTTCGTAGTAATGGATTGAAATCATGAGCGGATAACACTATACAGTCAATGTCTGTACTTGGT